AGCTCGGAGAAACCGCCCGCGATACCTACAACTGGGTTGCCAACCAGCTTCAGCTTGGTGGACAGGCTGCGAAGCAGAAGGCTGCGGAGGCTGAGGCTGATGCCAAGGCAAAGATCCGTGAGGAGCTGTAATGCGTGGAGGACAATTGAAATATTTGACGGCGGTGCTCAGATGGCTGAAAATCCTTGTGGTCTTGGAACATGTGATATCAGTGTGGAGGGTGCCATTGGTGAAAAGGCGAGAAGACAAGTTCAACGCTGGCTATAGTTCAGCCATAACGACGATGCAGACTATGGTACTTGAAAGTCGTTTGCTTTAGCAGTTAGTTATGTTTTACGAATCCTATTTTGTTAATCACACAAGAAGATCGTCATTAATGTGAATGTCAATAACTGAATCTTGTTTGTAACGCGTCTAGTAAAATATATGATGCTTTCTAAAGGGTGCATCGATATTGCATGGAAATCTGTCGCTGACGCTTTGTTCCCATTCATTAATTATACCTTGTCAACAATACACGCCAGATATACAGTATGATGTAAATTGGAGGAATTTTTGATACTCGACGGAATGTTTAGAAACAGGATCCTACAGCAGAACATGCGAATGCAAAAGTATGAATGAAAATATGATGTGATTCTGTTTTATGTTTCCTAACGCCATCGCTGGAAGAAAATCCACGGCGACCAAAATTAAGTTCTCTTCCCCTCTCACGGTATGGGTAGAACCATTCACCAAAGCGAAATCATGCCCAGAGCCTGCAGGTTCCGTCTGCACCAGCACTGAGACACCAGGGGTGCTTAGGGTGCCAGTCCACGTCAAGGACACCCAGCTTGTTGATTACTTTGTGGCCCTTGAGCATCTTGACTGGGACAATAGTCGCGTTCTCCATAAGATCGCTCACAACTTTGCCGTGGAAGATCTGCAATGTTCCGTCATCACTGGCATCAGCGAAGAGAGGCAGGCTGCGGTGGAACTTGACAGCGCGGATTGCTTCAGGGTGGAATCGCATCGTCTTGTATGGGCGAGATGACAGATCAAGATCATGCCACAGCAGTCTTCGATCGTATGAGCCAACAATGAGATTATCTCCACCAGGGTGAATATCAAATGAGGAGATCCATCGGGCGCCAGGCTGAACAACCTTGACAAGTTCCTGGCGCTGGAGATCGTAGCACCTGATCATTCGCTGAGTAGCAACAAAGAACAGTGGCCTTGAAGGATGGAACTGAGCCGTCTGGGCAAGACCGGGCAGCTTTCGGAAAGGAATTTGACTGAGATGCTTGGAGAGGGTGTGGATGGCAACCGAGCTCCGTTGTCCGGTTGGTGAGACAGTGGAGATGAACTCACCTCGCCTATGCCAGCTGATGACCTTGATTGTTGACCTAACAGTAGCCATGAGGAGCACACCGGCAGCTTCCAGCTTGGCACCAGGTCGTGACCACTTGGCAGGAGGTTCTTTCTTCACACCATTGACTGTACTGGGCTGTGCACCATTAGTAGCGTAGCCGAAGCCAGCGTCGAGAACATCGCGACTGGCCTTCTCAACAGCGTCACTAGCTACCGAGGGGATCATGAAAAAGAGATTCTCTCCAGCTGCAGCTGCCAGAATAAAGGTCTCCCTATTGGGCCGCCACCGCACAATATTGACTGGCTCCTCGCTGCTAAGCTTTGCCATCCATTCTTGGTGGCCGTTGAGAGCCCAGACACGGACTGTGCCATCATCACCCCCTGAAGCCACGAACTCGCCATCTGGACTGAATGATACCGAACGGACTCGACCATCGTGGCCACGGAAGATGGTCTGGTTGAGGGTGGGGAACGGCTTGAGGTCTTCTGGTCGGGGAAGCTTAGGCAGAAGAGAGTTGGGGTCGATATTGAGCCTGTTTTTCCTGATTCGTGGGGCGAGGTAAAGATCCAGACAGCGATCGAACCGTTCCTTGACGAACTCGCCATAACCAGGAACCTTGCGCAGCGAGTCAAATTTGGCAGGCAAGTACTCCTTTCCTCTCTCCTCAGGATCTTGGCTCTTCCAGGCTTCCTTTTCCTCCTCGGTCGGCAAGTACTCGGGTGGTGGGTTGTAGCTAAGGTCGTATCCAGGAGGAGCAAGCTTGGGAGCTGGGATGTTCATTACATGAGGGTCTTGAGGCTCCTCGTTTGCCCATACATCGTAGTAAGACTCTTCCTTCTCCTCTTCTTCTCGTTGTCGCTCCTCGGGAGGCTTGTAGGGTAGGATACGTCCCTCTTTGATGGCTCGGACAAGCTTGGCAACACGCTTGGCTTCATGCTTGGAGGGAACAAATCGCCGCTTCGGTTCTGGAGCAGCGCTCAGAGGCATCTTTTCCTCAATACTGGTGAAGTATGGCACCATATCCTGCGAAAGTTAGCGGTGTCGAGGAGGGGAACAGAAGTGGAGGACATACGGGATAAGGATCGTAGTCCTCGTTGGGAACCTCGTTCATTTGCAGTCGCTTAAGAAGTTCAAGCTGGTCCTGGGTCAAGTCCAAAGGTTTTCCAGTTTCAGGATCTGTCAAGCCAGTCCAGCCCTTGGGGATCTCAATACTGTCGAGGAGAGCATCTAGAGCCTCCCCAGTGGCTGGGCGCATAATCTTCTTGCCATTGATGTCGTATCCGATGTGCGGATAGGAGTCGTAGAAGGAGAGGGGAATGTTGCCAATTGTATTGGTTGGGCCTTGGGCATCTGAATCGTCGCTGTCATAGACAGGATCAACCTCAGCGTACTCGTAGCGCTCCCCGCCGTTGGCATCCTTGACAACGCGATAGTTTGGTTCCGAATTATCAGTGTCGAGTGGTGGAGGGGCCGCGAAGCTGTCGTCTACGTCGGAGGAGGCGTCTTCGCTGTACGCATCATCGTCCTCGTCCTCATCCTCGTCATCATCATCGTCGTCGTGCTCATTCGTGTCTTGACCGTCCAATCCATCCTCAAGATCGCTTTCCTCAAAGTCAGATCCATCTTCGCTCTGTGACAAAACGCCGTCCAATTCCAAGCCGGCGAGCTCGTCGTCAACGGGAGCAGGTTCTGCGAGGACCTTTCGCTTGCGTGATGCCAATGCTGGTGCCATTGGATCTATACAGTTGATCAAGAGGAATTTTGCAGAAGATTAGCGGGTTGAATGGCAGGGAAGCCAAAGCGATTATTTTTTTTTGCGACAGATAAGATAAGACTAGAAGGAGTCCAAACATTTGGAGCTAAGCTAGCTGGGGAAAGGTGGAGCCAGCGATAGGAGAGTGGGGATCATTAGGGTAGGTACGGATACTCACTCTATCTATACCTTGGACTTCATGTTAGTGACAAGGGTAGTCATCCTGATCTTTTTAGCCTTGGCCTGTATATACTGATATATCAGGCGTCATACATAAGACATATATGCAATTGACGAATTACTGTTCAATACTCTCAAGTTGTTTTTGACACTGGAGACCACTAGCGATTCCTCTGTCGAAGCTGGCCCTCTTGCGAAATACGAAGACTTTGGGGTTCTGCACAGAGAAGTGCGTTAATGAAATGCAATAGTTTGAGGGTCACCCCTCAAGTTCAGAGAAGCTCGTTCTCAGCGGCCTCATTCTCGTGCCGCTATGCTCAGTTGTAGTCTATGGAAGCTCATGACTATTTGAAATTGGCTGACTACAACAATTGGGACACAGATAGGAGACCGATCAAATCTTCGCCTCCAGAACTCAAAGGCCGAGTGAGAAAATAATTCAGTACTCTTGTTGATTGCAGAAAGGGCGAGACCTGCCATCTCGACGAAACGAACATAGTATCAGAGCTCGGCGTCTTGATCCAGGTCAGCTGCCAGGAACAGCTTGTCTGACGCCACAGTTGGGTGACTCGATTCAGACGGTTGGCTTTGCTTTGCTCGTTGGAGTTGAAAGGGAAAAGGCTTCGGGCATTCCGAACCACGCGACCAACGGGTATATGATCAGCCACGGCTGTAAATTTCTTTCACGATCCGCTCTCTACACAAACAGTGGAGGCTAGACTCCTCCGAAAACCATTCTGCGAGCCCTTCTGTCCTATACTGTCTATCTGTCTGTTTGTTGGTGGCTGAATCTATTAAGGATTCGCTCCAGAATAACGGATACGGGTGTCTTGAGCGAGACTACGAGATGGGAATAATATGAACTCAGACTGAGTTTTGGTAAAACCAACAACGGGAACAACGAGACACTAACCTAGCACGGAACAATGAGTTTCGGAGGCTCTCGATTATTCAACAATGCTCTCCAAATGTTCATAGGTGGTCTCAAGGCTGTATCTAGAGAATCGGGTTGAAAATTAAAGATGATAAAGACTTGCTCTTCACTGTTAATGGCCATACCACTAACTCTAGCACTTATACAATTTCAAGTTCGACATGCCCTGATATCTGAAATTGGTCACATATCAATAATCTTAGCTTCTGGGATCTTTCCAACCAAAAGGAATCAATTTATGAATTTCACCTTGTGACTTACAAGAGCTAGCTGAGCTTTCCTACGCTTATTCCAAATGCGGACCCGGAGCGTTTTCTCCATATTGAACAATGTATGGCCAAGGCTTGGAGCCTGATCTAGAAGCATACGAAGATGGCTTGGTTTCTGTATTGACACTTCACAATAGAAACCGTTAACTATAGACCACACTCGTGGCTGTTGGCCCATCACCTATCAACTGCCAGACCAGCCTGATCATGGCTCTCACATCTGCCCATACCAAGAAATATCTACGACGTGGTTCAAGCCTGTATCGATGATGTACAAGAGGCTCGCCCTCACAACATGGTTATAACCACCAACTGGCCAGTTGGTGGTTCATTGAACCAACAGCACGTTCCGATTCTTGGCAATGGTTCTGGACCCTCCCCAACAAGACTGACAGCTTGACCAGTATCCGAAATCCAAGAGAAAGGTACAACATGTTGGCCTATAAATGAAATACCTCGGGCCTGGCAATGTTGATCCTTATACTGACAGCAGTGAGACATACCTCGTCCAATATGCGCCTTCGTCCTACTTGTGTGCCATTGATGGCAATGGTGCTGTTCTTTAGTCTTGCCAGTGCCGTGGCACCCGTAGTCGATGTATCATACAGCAAATACAGGGGAAAAGACCTTGGAAACGGTGTCACTCACTGGCTCGGAATGCGTTACGCTGCACCTCCTCTGGGTGATCTCAGATTCATGCCTCCCCAAGACCCAGTCAGGAGTCGTCAGACAAAGAACGCAAACAAGGTGAGTAATTCCATTACACTGAGCTTTGAACCTACTAGACACTAAAGCAAGCTCAGTTTAGGCTCAAATGCGTTTCCCAGAGCGCAAAAGCTCGATTCATTGGAAAGTCACAGTCTGAAGATTGCTTGTTCCTCAACGTGTTTGCGCCGTCAAACGCTTCCAGGCACGCCAAGCTCCCTGTCTTCGTCTACATTCAAGGCGGAGGCTTTAACGATAACTCTAGACCCAAGATAAACGGAGCAGATCTGATCAGGGCCTCGGATATGAAAATGGTCGTCGTGACTCTGAATTATCGTGTATCAGTTCTAGGCTTTTTGTCATATGGTGATAAGGTGCAACCAAACAATGGCCTCCTCGACCAAAGAAAGGCCCTTGAGTGGGTACAGAAGTATATCTCAAGATTTGGAGGCAACCCACGACACGTTGTTCTTGGGGGTAGTTCCTCTGGGGGAGCGAGCGTGGCCTTTCATCTCGCAGCATACGGAGGCAGAGATGACAAGTTGTTCCACGCTTCTGCAGCCGAGTCAATATCTGCTTCACCTGTCAAAACAGTGGAACAAGCGTCGTATCAAGCCGAAAGCTTTATCGAGAAGGTCGGTTGTTCCTCCCAAGATGCCATTGCCTGCATGCGAGCCAAGACTATCGCCGAAATCATAGCCGCCAATATCAAGGTCCCATACCCTGGAGGCACGCGGCTACCAATCGGCATGTGGGGTCCTGTTATCGACGGAGATTTCGTACGAGATGCTCTCTGGAACTCGTTCGACCAAGGGAAGTTCATCAAGGTCCCTTCTATCATCGGTGCCACAACCAACGAGGGTCGAGCATTTGCACCAGCTGCCTCCTCGAAAACAGAAGTCGAGGATTTTTTCAAGGCCGAGTTCCCGCTTCTTGAGTCAGCTCATGTTACTCAGATTACGGCATTGTACCCTGGCTTGATAGATACATGCTCGAAAGCTGGCTGTCTCAAAGGACCCCTCAGCGATGCGTATGGCGATATGAGATTCCAATGCTCAGGCATCTCGTTGTCAGAATCAATCTCCCGCTGGATGCCAAAGAAAACCTGGAACTACTGGTATAACGTCGAGGATCCAGGCTTTATCGCTCAGGGGAGAGGGGTACCTCATTGTGACGAGGCTCATGCAATATGGGGGCCTGGCAATGGAGGCTCAGGGGCACCCCGAAGCTACTTCCCTGGTGGGATCAATGCTAATGCAGTCAACGTCGTTCAAGGGTATTGGATAAGCTTCATTCGATCTTATAATCCGAACAAATACAGGCTTGTCGATACAGCGATGTGGGGAGTCTATTCAAAGGCCTTAAGGCGCAGACTGGTGTTTAATACAGGGGGCAGGACTAGGTTAGAGAGCATGAGTCTGGATTTACAGTATAAATGCACTTACTTTAGCTTAATTGCAGCAACAGTACAGCAATAATTACAAGACCTTAATGCTAACAGCCTGCTGTTATTCTAGGCAAGGTAAATATATTTAATTAGCTTAACTTAAAGGTCTTTATACTATACCTTTTAAAGCTATTTTAGTATTAAAAAGGTTTTTTTTTTTTTTAATTTTTATAAAA